TTTATTTCTCAAAAACGCACATTCGGGGTTTTGGCCATGCTATCCAGACACGACGCAGCTGAACCTACTGCTTCCTTTCCTTTCGCTGAGTGGCTCCTCCTGCCAGGGTCCTGGTGTCTGCACGGGGTGCTCCAGCTTCCACACCCACGTGGGCACCAGACCAGAACATTTCTCCCTCAGAGGCTCTTCGGGCTACTGCTCTTCTCCCAGGCCAGGTCTCCTGGCAGGTGGGCTCTAGCGGCACACAGCCTGCACCCCTCCCAGTAGACGTGCAGACGTCCCCTTTTCATTGGCCCACCTGTGTACATGGGGCCAGCACAGTCTCGGGCGTCACAGCTTCCCTTCTGGGCCTCTGCAAGCCGGCTGAGCTGACACCCTCTCCTGTCCCAGGTGCAAACCCCCCACAGCACGCAGGCCAGCGGCTGGGCTGACTGGCCACGACGGCAGCTTTGGGTCATGGAGGGACCCCCAGCCCTCAACAGATGTGGAGGCACGGTGTCCAGGATGAGTGGGGGAATGGAACACAGTTACTGTTGCTTGGATGCTGCTGTCAAGTCTGGGGCAGTTTCCAACTAATTTCAAAATGACTTCAATCTGATAACTACTTGTGTGATGGTTAGTAACTAATTCCACACTTTTCAAGTGACCGGTTGGAATAGCACTTGGAAACTCTATAAAACAAACACGTATGTAGTCAAACGCTGTGGGGTCACAATCAGTCATTTTCCATCTGGGTCCACTCGCAGAAACTGTGATCCCTCCCCCAGGCCACTCACGACACGTCCTTCACTGGGTGGAGGGCACCAGTGCGGCCAAGCACATGTGCTGGCAGCCAAAACAATCAGCCACGGTACAGGCAAGGACCACGGGAAGGTGCTAAGGGAGAAAAACAGACATCTCTGCTTTCTGACAGACACATGCTCTACCACCTAGGAGGCAGTTTCTGGCAAAAAGAAAGAAAAGAAAAGAAAAGAAAAGAGAAGAGAAGAGAAGAGAAGAGAAGAGAAGAGAAGAGAAGAGAAGAGAAGAGAAGAGAAGAGAAGAGAAGAGAAGAGAAAGAAAAGAAAAAGAAAAGACAAAACCAAACCATCAAACCTGTGCCTAATCAAATCTCTTGGTCCTTCAACCAATTCACAGTAAGTGGACACCATGAGAATCCAATCTGTAAACGCAGACGGTGGAAACTACACAGGACAGATGACCTGTCTTTTCAGCAATGAAACAAGAGAGACTGATGGAGCCTATAGATGACAAGAGATGTAAGTGACACCAACGAATCATGCTGTCTGCACCTGATTTAGTTCCTGATCCAAATAACACACCGTAAGAAAGAAAATTCATCAGAGAGCAAGGGAAGTGCGAACATTGGGTGGATGTTTGATGCCAGTAAGAAATTATCATTAATTTTAAAGGTGTGATCGTGACATCACGGTTAGGATTTTTTAAAAAAAAGATCGTTTATCTTTTACTGAAGCAGTTTACACACAAAATAACATGACATCAATGATCTGCTTCCAGGTAAGTGAGGGCCAGAGCAATGATGAGTCTGGACAAAAGTAAAGCAAGCTAGGTCACAATATGCTACCACTGATGGCAGTGATGGCTATGGAAAAGGTTGCCGCTCTATTTTTATGTTTGAAATTTTCTGAAACAGAAAGTGTTGGAAAAAAAAAAAGCCACGCTCATCACAGAAAGTCTGGGAAACACAGAAAAGGAAAAAGAAAAGAAAGAATCCCATGACTGTACTACTCACGGAGGCTACCATAAACACTTCTTGTTCTTACTGTAATCAATTAGGTGGTCCACATTTACTACAAATGTGTTTAAGAAAAAGAAAGGTTGGGAAAAAAAAAAGAGCAAGAGAGGGGCTGTGTACGGGCCTTCTTCTGTATGTTTCACACATAATATGTATCCCAAATTCCAAATTTGATTGTATAAAGAATTAGTCTCTCTCTCTCTCTCTCTCTCTCTCTCTCTCTCTCCCCCCACACACACACACACACAAAAACCACTCCCACCCATCTGACCCGAGAAGGCAGTCCACATGTCCCAGGGGGAAGTGGACTTGCCGCCTCAGAAAATCACGTGAAACCAATGACACGGCTTTCCCCACGGAAGCTGCGAATTCATTCACTCAGATGTTCATCCAGCAAACAACTCAGTTGTATACCTACTGCCAGCCAGGCCCTGCACCGTGTCTCCAGTGAAAGATAACTATTCTTGGGCCAGCCCTCAGGGAGCTCACGGGCTGGGAGAAATGCTAGACTTGTGGCCCTGGGAGAAATGCTAGACTCGTGGCCCAGGAGGCTTTGCCAAGTCAAGTAAGGTGGCTGCTAAGTTATAAATGATGTGCCCACCCCTCCCAGGGAACATCCAGTGGACTCAGTATGGTGCAGCTATATGGTAGGAGACCAAGATCAACTTTAAGTGTGTCACAAGGAATTGTTTTCCTGCCAATAATTCAAAAATACTGAAGTTTTGGGAAGATGTACTTGTAGTAATAATAAATGGGGATAAAAAATATAAAAAATAAATGGGGATAAGTTCTGGGATTCCTCTTAACTGCATGCTTTCTTGGGTGGCAAAGAAGAGGGAGGAATGGCACAGTGGGAGCTGCCCCTGGGAGTGGGAGGTGTGTGCAATGCCCCCCAGTACGATGTTACCCATCGGGAGGGTGTGCAAAAAACAAACAAACGAACAAACAACAACAAAAAAAAACCTCCAAGGCTCATGCACCATATTCCACTAAATCCTAGTGTAGCCAAGTCCACAAAATGCCAGCACAATAAGAATTTTAGATTTATGGTAAAGAAATTCATAGCTTCGAATATTAATGGCAAAACCACATACCAATACCCAAGAGGAACCAGACAGTAATTACCACTTTTCTGTAAAAGTCAATAATGAATTTCCCATTTTGGAGTGACAAAAATGTACACATTCAACTTCCTTGCACTGAATTCATTAAAATTTCCTGATTACTTTCTAGTGGTGGGCTGAAGAGCCTCAATCGAGCTCTAAAATGAAGTTTACAACAGCCCACTCCATATATGGAGCCACTTAGGTTTATCCTCTCTAAAATAGAGAAAAACATAAACTGGCTCAAACTGCTCAACACATTAGTCAACAGGCTTCGCCAGTTTTTAGAAGCAAACAGGGAAAGGGAGACACAGACACTGCTCTCCCCGCCCCGTGTTTCTCCTTCTGCCTGTTTGTTGTCTTCTTGTGAATTTTACATCACTGCCTACATGCAGACTGCTCAGCAGCATAGCTGAAGTCAAGTACAGGTACAGTGGGGCACAGGACCCAGTCAGAGAGCCGCCAAACACCCAGGCTGTCAGCCACAGCACCGTGCTCTGAGACGTGCCCACCAAGAAGGCAGGCCCCTTGAATGCAAACCTGCCAGGGGCCGCCAACACCCGGGCCACGTTATACACAACAGACCTGGTACTGGCCTATCCGGAGGATGATCTGAGGCCTCGGTGGGCTGGCATTCCTTCCCCTTGAGTTAGAGAAGATATCAGGGCGCACAGGACTCAGTAAGCTAGGTCCCTGTCAGGAGTGTACTACTGCTCAGCAGCTGGGCAGGGAGCTCTGAAAAATCTGAGGGAATCACATAAAGGTGCATTAGAAGAACAGGCCTCTAAGAGCTCCGGGGCAGGGAGGGGATGGTGCTGTGGTGCCTGTCACTTTCTCACGAGAGAAGTGACTGGCCCTAAAATGTATTTAATGGCCCAGAAGGGAGACCTTGCAGGTTGTGGTAAAAAGAATAAAGTAGTAACAAACATGGGATAGAATAACTTTGTTACTCACCAAATCCGGATGGAACACAACACACAACACAGGGTGTTTGTAAGATAAAGTTATGTTCTCCCTCACACCCTAAGCAGGAGTGAGTTATTGATGTTGCATGGGAGAACTGTTCAATGGCAGTATTTACAACAAAACACACCAAGACCCTAAGGAGGGGAGAAGTTTACAGAAGCAAGCCTCTGGCGCCGGGAATCACCCCAGGAAAAAAAAAAATCCCCTGCACTCTCTCATGAAAGAATAATCAGGCCGTCAGGGACAACTCTGGTACAGGAAACCGTTTGGAGAAATATAAACACAAGTGAGGGGTTAAAGGCACTTACTACACAGAAACAGAAAGTGCCCGAAGAGGAAGCAGCGTAGTTAAACAGGCTTTCTCCTGATCAACAGATCTTGAGAAAGCAAGGATTACAGGGGCGCAGCCCATGGGGGAGAAGACAAGGGAAAGTGAGTGAATGTCACTAAAAGCACCCACGGGGACTTGGTGGCCCTGCCACCCGCAGCGCTGCGGTTGGGGGGTGGAGGCCTGCCTTCTCCCCGCCCTGCGCCCCCCATGCCTCGCTGCTTCCCCTTCTGGCTCAAGAATCCCAGGTGTGCCGAGGAAGGCTGGAGCACTAGGCACTCCGGTCCTGTCCCAGGAGCCTCATCTCCAGGGACCCTGAGGACACTTCCTGTCCTGTCCTGTCCTGTCCTGTCCGGTGCTCAGGATGGGAACGTCCCTTCCCAAGTCGCTGCCATCCAGACCTGACCCCTACTACGGAAACCACCTGATGCTATCCTTCTCAGTACCGCGTGCAGGGGTGACCCCGGAATTCAAACGTGGCAGGGAGTGGGGCGGCGCTCGGGACCCAGGCTGGGCGAGGGTCAGGCGTGCCCTCCGGTGCACACGCCTGGCAAGGGGCAGAGGCGACCCGGACGGCTCAGGCCAGGCGGGGGCGGGGCGACCCTCGGAGCCCAGGGCCAGGGCAGGGTGGGCGTCGCAGGTGTACACAGGGTGCAGCTCGAGCACAGACTGCACCTGGGTCGGAGGGTGTCCCCGAGGCCCACGCTGGGCGGGGTCGGGCCGGGGCTGCCCTAGGCCGGGCCGGGGATCCCGGCGGCGGCGGCGGCGGCGGCGGCGGCGGCGGCCCTCCGGGGAGGCCGGGGGTGACCCCGGGGTCGGGGCCGGCGGGGGGCCGCGCGGCACTCACTGTTTGGGCAGCTGCAGGGCGGGCGCGCCGCGCCGCTGGAAGGCCCCGTCCACGAAGACTCCGTTCTTGCCGAGGCAGCGCAGATAGAAGTGCGGCTCCTGGAAGCTGAGCTGCAGGTGGCGCCGGGAGATGAAGCTCGACAGGCCCATGCTCAGGTCCACCGAGCCCTGCGACGAGTTGCGGCCGATGGTGACGCTGGGCTGCCGCATGAGGAACTCGAACTCGCGGCCCTCGAGGCGCGCCAGCGCGGGCCCGGGGCTCCGGCGCACCGAGGCGGCCGCCGCGGCCACCAGGGCGTCCCCCGCCGCCCCCGCGCCGCCCGGGCCCGCCGCCGCGCCCCCCGCGGCCCCCGCGGCCCCCGCGGCCCCCGCGATCGCGCCCGGCAGCGGCGGCGGCGGCGGCGGCGGCGGCGGCGGCGGCGGGGGCTGGGCGGGCGGCGGCGGCGACGGGGCGGCGGGCCCGGGCGGCGCGGGGGCCGCGGGGGCGGCGGCGGCGGGGAAGGCGGCGGCGGCGGCGGCGGCGGCGCACAGCACGGGGCTGCAGGGCGCCGAGCGCAGCGCCAGCAGGGCGCGGGCCCCGCTGTCCTCGCCGACTTCGGCCATGTTCGCGCAGCTCCGAGCGGCCTCCGGCGGCGGCGCGGCGGCGGGGGGCGGGGCTCCGCGGGGCGCGGGCGGACGCGGCATCCCGGGCCGGATCGCGGCGGAGCGGAGCGGAGCCGACCCGAGGCCGCGCGCGCTCCCGGGGCGGGCGGGGCAGGTGTCCCCGCGGGGGCGCGCTGCCCCGCCCCCGCCCCCGCCGCGCCCGACTCCGGCCGCGTCCCGGAGGAACCCGCCCGGGGAACCCCCAGAAATCTCACTGGAAAGTTTTGCCCCCCTCCCCCTCCGGGTCCCCGAGGACCGGGACAAATGAACTCCGCAGCCTCCGCGGGGGCGCCCCTCCCGGTCGCTCCCTCCGCCCACCCTCCACTGAGATCACACTCCAGCACCCGGAGGGAGGGTTTTCGAACTGTAACTGGAGTGCGCCTAAGGATGCTTGCGATCCCTGATGCCCCGTGTGCGTTTTTGGAGTCACTTATTCATTCAACAAACATCCAGATCAACTATCCTGGGACCCACGCTTGGCACCAGCTTGAGGGCTGCGGACACCGCCTGCGCTTTAAATCGCCTACCGGCTGGCTCATCGGGGAGGCCAGTGGGGCATCAGGGCTGTGGCCCCTTTACTGCTTCAGTGTCCTGCTCATGCCTTCCTCCTTCAGCCAGGTCCCCTAGGAGAGGTGGCAACGTCCCCACATTTCCATCCTTTAATAATTATGGAGCATGAGAACCCGGACCCTCCCTGGTGGAGCTAACGGTTGGGTGGGAGCTGCAGACCTGAGTCAAGTGTGCATACTAGTAAATGCTGGGAGTCCCGTGAGGCAGACCTGGGTGGGGACCTGCGAGTGTGCCCGGAGATGTCCCCCCTCCCCATGGGAAGCTTGGCTGCTTCCTCCGTTTTCCAATGGACCTGCACTATATATATTGGGCCAATCACCATCTGAGTGAATTACATAGGTACACAGAGCTGGGTGTGTGTGTGGGGTAAGTAACATTTTTATGAAAAGCTGTAAGAAGAGAACCTACTTGACGGAGAAGGACAATAAAAATGAGGTCAGGGATCCCTTCCCTAAGGAATGACACTTACTACAAGGATGATTGCCAGGGGGCAGGGGGATGGCATGCCAGCAAAGGAACAGCATGCCTTAAGGAAGGGAGCATGGAACCCTCAGAGGATTGATAGGTCACTGGGGGTGGAAGAGAGAGTGATCACGTCAGCTGAACCCGATTAGGCAAAAAGAGGCTAAAGGGCCCTTTGGGTCATGTAGGGATTTAGGTATTATCCCACCAGCCATGGAAATCACTGAGGGGTTTCTGGCAGAAGGGCAGCATGTGGAACCACATACTTGAAATGGAATCACTGGCTGTTGTGTGGAGCCTGAATCTGGATGGGGTGAGTGACTGCAGGAGGCCACTTGGGAAGCTGGTAGAGCCCAGGCCAAGGGGGGTGTTGAAGGAGCAAGGTGGACAGAAGATGGGGGATTTGGGCAATATTTATCTCATACAAAGGCATTGACATCTGCTCTGGTGGTAAGAGGTAAAATGGTGCAGTCACTTGAGAAAACAATATGGCAGGTCCTCAAAACATTAAACATAGGATGACCATACTATCCAGCAATTTGACTTCGATGTATAAAACCAAAAGAACATGGGATCCCTGGGTGGCGCAGCGGTTTAGCGCCTGCCTTTGGCCCAGGGCGCGATCCTGGAGACCCAGGATCGAATCCCACGTCGGGCTCCCGGTGCATGGAGCCTGCTTCTCCCTCTGCCTGTGTCTCTGCCTCTCTCTCTCTCACTGTGTGCCTATCCTAAATTAAAAAAAAAAAAAACACAAAAGAACGGAGAGCAGGGATTTGAAAAGGCATTTGTGCACCTATGTTCAAAGCAGCATTATTCACAGCTGCCAAAAGGTGGGAGCCATAGTTCCATCCACACTTGTGGGATATGCAGCCAATGGAATATCACTCAGCCTTAAAAAGGAAGGAAATTGTCACCTGCTACCGCATGAGTGAACCTTGGCACTGTGCTAAGAGAAATCACCTCGCTCCAGAAAGGCAAATACTGTAAAATTCCCCTTCTATAAACTTCCTAGAGTAGTCAGGTTCTTAGAGGCACCGTAGTAGAAGGGTGGGTGTCAGGGACTGGGCGAGGGTATAGAGGATGGAGAGTAAATGGCGACAAAGTTTCAGTTTTACAAGATAAAGAAGTTTTGGTGATGGATGGTGGTGATGGTTGCACAATAACGTGAATGTACTCAACACCACCCAACTGTATACTTAAAATGGTTAGAATGGGAAAATCCATGTGGTGTATCTTAAAACGCTCTGTGTGTGTGTGTGTGTGTGTGTGTATACAGGGAGCCTGAGTCTCCCTCTGCCTATGTCTCTGCCTCTCTCTGTGTCTCTCATGAATAAATAAATAAATAAAATCTTTTAAAAAAATATATACGAATGACAGATAAGCACAGAAAAAGAAGCTCAACATCATCACTTTTTAGGAGAAAGTGAAAACAACATCGAGATATCACTAGACATCTATTAAAATTATTTAAAGGAAATGATGAAGTCAACCATTGTTGCCAACTTGGAGCAGCAGGTGCTCTCCTACATAGCGAGCGCTTGAGGAAACAGTCTGGTAGTTTCTCATGAAGTTCAGCAACCTGACCTGATGGCTGGCAGTCCCATCACTAGGCTTTAACCCAAGTGAAATGAAAACTTGTGTTGACACAAGAACCTGTACACAAATACTCACCACCAAACACTGGAAACAACTGTCCAACTGAACCTCAACTGGGGAGTGGATAAACAAACCGCCATACAACCACGTGATGGGATTCACTGCATCAGTGAAGAAGAGCCAAGTGCAAACATACAAAACACCATGGATGAACCCTGAATGCCCTGGGTATACTTTCATTTATAGGACATTCCGGGCAAAGCGAAACTATAGAGACAGAAACAGAGGAGCAGTTGCCTGGGGCTGGTGTCTGGGGAGAGGCTGACCACAAAATGACATGTGGGGATGTTGAGGGTGAGGGGTGACTGTGATGGCGATTGTATGATTCTGTGTACCTGTCAAAAGTAGCAAAACTGTGCACTAAAAAAGGTGAATTTTCACTCTATGTAAATAGTACCTTTTTCCAAATTAAAACAACAACAACAACAACTCTATAGAGCTTGTGTTTATAGACATCCCCTTCCCCAAAGATGAGGAGCCATGCTGCACAGTTCAGAAGCCAGGAGCCACAAGTGGCTATTTACATGCATATTCTAATCCAAATGAAGTAAAATTAAACATTCAATTCCTCAATGGCACAAGCCATGTTTCCAGGGCTGGATCTGGAGATTCGTATGGTTACTGTGCTGATCCCTGCAGATAAAGGACATTCCCATCATTGCAGAAAGTTCTACTGGCCAAGCTGCTCTGAGGGTGGGGTGTGGCAGGGCTAATGCCTCTGCCCTCTCCTCTCTTTATCTTCCAACATCAGGAAACATGCCAGGCAGTGCATGCCAGGCACATAGTAGCTGCATAAGACCCACAAAGAAGCAATGCCGTGGGCCCCCCAAAGCTCCAAGGGGTTCTTACTTGTACTGGAGTGGATGTGTGCCAAGCAGCAGACCAGAGCCCCAGCACAAGACCAGAGACTTACAGGACCCTCAGCCCTAGAGCTGGCTGGTCTGAAGGCAGGTGGATGGGGCTGAGGAGGAGAAGCCTCAAAGTCTGGAAGCTGCTGGTCCACACCAGAATCCTCAAGGGACTGGATTAACATGCGGGAATGCCTGGGGAACCCAGACCCCTGTCTTCTCACCCTTTTCCTGTCTGCTGAGTGTCACTTCCTGCCACTGCCATATCCTTCTGGGATCCTTCCCCGGCCCCAGTACTGCTTCCTGCCTGTTTGCTGAGTTGCGAGGCCCTCACGTCATGCAGCCACAGGACCTCTGGCCGTTACTAAGCGGGACTGCACTTCTGTACAACTGCAAAAGACAGCCGCAGAGGGACAGAGAGAGAGAGAGAGAACAGTGTTCTATAGAAACACCTCCTTCCCCATATGAGACTGCAGCCTAAAAATCCGAAAGTCATGAGCCCTGTGTCTGGAGCTCACTGGGAGCAGGCTGACTTGTTTTTCTTTTACATCCTACTGGCCCCACCTACCCTATCATTCCTGAAACACCAACACAGGGAGAACGGTGTCTGACTTTGATAGCACAAGACACTTGTTGAAACCAAGGCATGGGTGGAAAGTACTCTTGATGGAATACACTAGTGTGGGCACTTAGAAAAAGAGATAGGCTGTGGGTTGCTCATCTCCTGTTGTGTGATCAATGGTTCCAACATGCAGTGGCTTAAAACAGAAACACACGTGTCACCCCACAGTTTCTGTGTGTCGGGAACTGGGGAGCGACTCTGCTGAGCAGTTCTGGCTTGGGGGGGGGTGGGATTCTCTCACAAGGTTGTGTCTGGCAAGATTTTGGTCAGGGCTGCATCTTCTGCAAGTTTGCCGGAGCCTGGAGGATCCGCCTCCAAGGTGGTAGCTCAGGCTCCTGGCAAGTCAGTGCTGTTACTGCCTGGAGGCCCGAGTCCCTTATCAGCTGGGTGACCTCTCTGCGGGGCCGCTCCAGCATCCTCCAACACGGTGGCTGGCTTCCCTTGGAGTGAAAGCTCCCAGAGAGAGCAAAGAGGGGGCTGCGAGGTCTTTTTATGACCCTCAGAAGCCCCGCTCTGCCATTTCTACAATATCCCTGTGGTTACAAGATCAGCCCAATTCAGTACAGGACAGGACTCCACAGGAGCATGACCACCAGGAGGGGAGCTGAAAGGAGGAGGAGACGCTCCATACATCTATTTAGCCACCAGATGATATGCGGGTGATGACAACGGGAGCAGTCTGAAGGAGGCCAGCTCTGAGTTGGAGTTGAGGTGCCACATTAAGATGAAGCAGCATGAAGGTACGCTGGAGGGGCCAAAGACTCTGGAGCCTGCTCCTCTGTTAACCAGCTGTGTGACTGTGGACAAGTTATTTGGCGTCTCTGGGCTTCAGCGTCCTCTGCTGTGACATGGACTTAGGGGCGTGTGGGAGAGCTTAAAAGAGAATATCAATGGGGCTGCAAGACCCTCAGGAACCCACTGCTGTCACTTCAAGAAAGGCAGAGTGTTTTACAAGAATAGACTTGGAAATGAGGAAAGCAAGACTCTGAGCCCCAAGGCCAGCTCCATGGAAGCTCTCAGGAGCTGCTCAGCCTGGCAGGCCTTACAAAGTCGAGTGCTCTGCACAGATTGCAAGGGGATGTGCACGATGGATGTGCCAGCGGATATTTTTTTCTGGTATTTACTGTGAAGACCTGATGGGTCTCTGGCAGGGAAACTCAGGAGGAGAGTCAGGACCCCCCAGGAGTGAGTTTTTAGCTATCAGACTTGTCCTTGCTGAGCCTCCAGCACTGCATCATGGAGGGGTGGCCTTTCCTGCACCCGCCCTGTGCCCCTGGTGCTTCCTGTTCTCGGGCTTGTGCTCTGGGAAGTTGTGGTTCTCTGCACCCACTGCCTCCCCAGTTTGTGGACAGAGGTTGGTCCCAAGGCCTCGCTTTTCTGATGGATCTAGGATGAGGCTGTTCATTTTCTGTACGTTCAGCCTTTCTCATGCAGCATGGATGGAAGTGATGACATCTCAGCTCCTGGCACGAGGGACTGGCAACAGGAAGTAATTGTAAGTGATCATTCAGCAGCTCTGTTTCTGCTTCTCAGCCGAGGTTCTGTGCCTCTACTCCCACCACTAACAGGTCAGTTCCCTAAGAGCGCAAGTGCCAGCTTTTCTAGAGAGCGGTCTGAAGGGCCCCATTAATTACCTCTGTACCTGGTGAACAGGATCACGCCAGGTTTCCTGTCCTTGGGTCAGTGAAGCATTATAGTCTAGGGACGTGGTGATCATTCTAAGGCTGCACGATCCTGAATACATGCAGGAATGCCTGAGGGATAGTTTATCGCCCTTGTGTTTCCAACACGCAGCCACCAGCCACATGTAGCAATCGAGCATTTGAAATGTGGCTAGCCCAAAATGAGATATGCTATAAGTCTAAAATACAGTCTACATGGATTTCAACTACTTAGTGTAAAAAAAAAAGCCAAATACTATTAACATATTAATAGTTTTATATCAGTTACAGTTTGAAATGATAATATTTGGGGTATACTGGGTTAAAGTATAATACTAAAATTAATTTCACCTATTTCTTTTTACCATTTTAATGCAGCTCTAGAAAATTCAGAATTACATCTGTGCCTCTCCACTAACACACTGCATTTCTGCAGGACAATGTGTTAGCGGCCAGTGGAACTTCTTTGGTCCAATAGATGTTTCTGTCTTCATGATGATGGTTTCGATTTGTGTTTGAGCAGAGCAAGGGCTCCTAGCTATCAATTTGGTATCTCAGTGTGGTATGTATTTCTTCCTCTTTTGCTTGTGAAATCTCCTTATGCAGGGTCCAAGTGGCCTGCGCCTGTGGCTGAATCTGCCTGAGGGAGGCGCAGACACCGAAGGAACATGCAGAGTGTCTGTCTGGCAAGCTGCATGCCGTGTCTGCCCTGGGGTGCTCTGGTTTTCAGCCACGGAAACCAACACTAGCCAACTTAAACAAGAAGGAATTTATCAGCATGATACTGGGCAGTTCACAGAACCAAAGAAAGCCAAGAAAGACCCAGGTTTCAGAAAAGCATAGGAATCACCGGCCATGGGGATTTAGAGCAGCAGCACCCCAAGGCTGCTCTCTCTGCTGCATGGGGGGTTGTGTGCGGCAGGGGCTGGTGGGGATCCATCATCTCAGGCTTCTTGCACCATCCATTCCACACAGCCAAACTGAGTGGAGCAGGAATGCCCAGGAGATGGCGGCTGATTGGCTGGCAGGGGCTCTGCTGGGCCCAGGTCTGGGCCAAAGGTGGGCAGCCCCTGAAGACACAAGCAGAGGCTGGCTCTTCCTCAAAGCAAAGTCTGGCCACTGTTAGCGGAAAGGGGAGGGTGTGCTGAGCAAGCAGAAACAATATGTGTTCACTGGCTCATTCCAACCTGATTTCGTCAGTGACCACTGGAGCACTCCGCCAATTCAGCTTTTTTTTTTTTTTTAAGAGACTCTTAAGTTCATCTTTGAAAACTTTGAAACATGGAAACGTGTAAAACACGTACAAAAAAAGGACAGAATAATAAAATAGTCTCCACGGATCCATCATCCAGCTTCCACGAGGATCAATGTATATGGTCAGGCTTGTTTCATCTGTAAGCCTTCCAGATCCTCCTGAATTATTTCAGAGCAAATCTCAGGCATTATATCATTTCCTGCAGCTCTGTGTGTATCTGTACAAGGGTTTTTTTTTAAACATAACCACAATATTATCACCCATAAAAGAATCCCAACAATGCTGTCCTATTACCACATTTCTGGCCAGTGTTTAGATTTTCATTTTTTTAGCAACTTTATGGAGGTGTAATCTCCATAGCAAATTCTCACAGTTAGTGTAGTCCCATCCCCTCTTTAAATATTATCTAGACTGTTTCTGCCACCCAAAATGCTCCCTCATGCCTTTCTGCCGCCAGTCCTCACTTGGGAAAACAGTCTAGTGAAAAGTTAAACATACACTCAGCGTGCACCCCAGCACTTCTATCTCTAGGAATCTACTCGAGAGAAATGAAAGCACATGTCAAAGACTATCCCATGAATGTTTAGAGCAGAATTATTCATAAAACCCAAACTGGAAACAATCCATATGTCTATCAACAAGTGGGCTGATTTTTTTTTTTTACCAGCATATTCCTACAATCAAGCGCCATCAGTACTAACAAGGATGGACTGTTGATACGTGCGACAGTGTGGATGAACCCCAAGCCTGGTGTTTAGTGAAAGAAGCAAACAGTGGAGCACATAATGAATGATTCTGTGCATGGGAAACGGGTAAGAAGGGAACACTTCAGAGGAGAAAGCATATTGGGGCTGTCTGGGTGCCCCTTCTGGGAACTCTTCCCTAGCCTCACTCCTCGGAAGCTCTAGCATAACCTTCCACACTGGAAGCTGGTGCTTTCAGTTCTGCAATCCCAGCTGCCCCCAGACAAGGGCACCCTAGGCTTGGCTACTTCCAGAAATAAATGTAGAGAGAACAAGATACAAATTTAGATACTAGGAAATATCTATCCTGCTCACATGCATGTTAAGGATCATGTATTCATGTCTTTTTCTTTTTTAAATATTTTATTTATTCACTCATGAGAGACAGAGAGAGTCAGAGACATAGGCAGAAGGAGAAGCAGGCTCCCTGCAGGGAGCCTGATGCAGGATAAAATCCTGGGATCCCGGAATCACAACCTGAGCTGAAGGCAGGTGCTCACCACTGAGCCACCCAGGCATCCCATGTCTTCATGTCTTAAAACAATACTTTGCTTCTATCATGTTCAAAGTTGTTTTTTTTTTTTTTTTTGCTTTTGTTTTAATCTGATTTGCTAGCAGATGCCAACAGGGAGGGAGATGTCATCACATCTATTTATAACTGGGAGGCCACCATTCAGATGGAGTGGGTTAGGGGCCCTAGTCTCGTGGCTCTTGGCTTCTCACGTGTACCTATGGTGCAGGATCTTCTTCATGACACCCTGCAGCTTCACCTCCTCGTCCATCCTCATGAGGTGGTTAGAGACCATTGTTGTCCTATTTGACAGCTGGGAGGATAGAGACTCAGGCTCCAAGTGTCTCATCCCAGCTCACGGTAGCTGTTGGAGAAAAATTAATCAGACTTGTCCCAGAAGCAGGTCTCTTCCTTTGGCAATATGCCGTGTCATACTTTATTTCAGCTAACATTTACTGAGCTCCTACCGTGGGCCAGGCCCTGTGCAAGGCACCTTGCACATCTCATTTCATTCTCTGAACAACCTTGTGAACACCATCACCAGCCCTGTCTGACAGCACAGACAAGGGAACAGAGGTTGAAAGAGGTGAACGGGGGGGGGGGGGGTGTCACCTGTGGGCTGCTGCTGGTTTAGCTCTCAGACCACGGTGTTGTCAAATCCCACTTGGGCTCCTTGTAACCTGCTTCTTGCCAGTTGCTGAAATTTATTAGTCGGAGGTGAATTTTCAAAAATACGTAAGCACAAAGTATTTCATCCTTTAAATCTTTCCTACAAAATGCTTTGTCACCCACACAGGTGACAATATGCATCTGCCCTGACGTTAGGACAGCTGATGGCACACAGGTGCAGTGGGTGCAGGGACAGCCTCCTCAGGCTTCAGGTGCAGCTCCCACACTTAACACCTGCATGATCCAAGGCAAGTTACTCGGTCCCTCCCCATGCCTCAGTTTCCCCACTTCCTGTAAACCTCCAGATGGAATGGGGGTCATGGGTGTAGAAGGCTCAGTGCAGCGCCTGGCAGGTGAGCCAGACCTCAATCATGCTACTCATCATCATCAGGCTGAATTGCCCTACTGCCATGCAGGAGTGGTCGACTGTGGTCAATGGTCACTAATTTCCTACATTTCAACCTAAAAGCATAATTGGAACTCAAGTTTAACAAAAAACAAACCAAAAACAGACCCAAGTGTCAGAGTGCAAACTGAAATCCTCTGAGGTCTGAAGAGGGAAGATGACAGGAGCAAAAGCAGCGAGACAAAATGAAATTGGGACTCCATGGACTCCCTGCCACAGGGAGGGGCTGCCTGGATCTCACTCTCCTCTGGACGTGCATTACTGTCGTCTCTGTTTTGAAGTGGGAGAAAAGGAAAAAGTGAATGCAGCTTCCCACATCTGGGAAGAAATTTGTATCCTAGAGAAGGAAATGGGATTCAAGAAGCCTTGGCTTCCAGCCCAATTCCCAGCCATTTATAAAAAGTGTGGTTGTACTAGACACACTCGGCGCTGGGGTAATTGGAAGCAGATGAGATGTGGCCTCCTATTTTGTGTGTACCTTTGCAGCTGATGCGGCTCTGGGAGGCCGCAAAACGCACATGAAATGTGCACAGCCCAGCACCTCTTGGCTGTCCGGTACCCCCCCGATCAGATTTCCCCTCCATGGTTTAACCAATTAAGGCTTCAAAAGGAAAAACCAGCTGCCTAAGAGAGTTTTACAAAGCTTACGTTAATCGAAAAGATTAAATCTATAAGACATAATTTTGCTTCCCTCTTTTTATGTTTATCAGTGCCATGATAGAATGAGCTGCTGAATTTGAAGTAAGTGGGCATATTCACTTCTCAGGTTTGAAATCCTCCCTGGCAAGCATTTTCTTACCACACCAATAGTTGCAAATGCAGGTCCTAAAGGATATTTTGAATAAACCTAGAATAAAATGAAAATCAATGTCTGAGGAAAGCACCAAATAAATAAAAGGTATCAAAAAAAAAAAAGAGTACAGGACCTAAGATTTCTGAACCTGTCTCAAAATTAAGAATGTAAACCCCAGGTTCCCACTTGGAAAAAGCCATGCTTGACCCTAAGCACAGAAAGACAAATGGAACTTCTATAAACCCTTTCCTTTTGGGGACCACAATCGCTCAGCAGCTACCCTCTGTGGGCGGGCAGGTGTACTGCCCAGCCCCTCACCTACAGAATTTAATTAGCCACCCAAGATTTAAAATGCTCCAGGGGGGCAGCCCTGGTGGCCCAGCAGTTTAGCGCCACCTTCGGCCTGGGGCGTGATCTTGGAGACCCGGGGTCAAGTCCCATGTGAGGCTCCCTGCATGGAGCCTACTTCTCCCTCTGCCTGTGTCTCTGCCTCTCTCCCTCTCTCTTTCTCTCTCTCATAAATAGGTAAAATCTTAAAAACAACAACAACAAAAAAATAAAATGCTCCATGGTAGAGATAATTCTCCTCTCCAGGATGCCAGAAGGGAAGCAGTGCTCAAACGAAGGGACCACCGTCAGAAGACCTGGTGTCTGGTCACAGCTCTGCTGGCAGTTGTGTGCTTGCTGGCGGTGTTGCAGGGTGGTTAATCATTACAGTCTGGAGTTAAAAGGGCACAACCACTGGCAGCCTTGTCTGTTCCTATTCTGCACTTCCTCCTAATTAGCACAACTCTGATTTTGCCTGGGATGGTATGGAGCCCAGCTAGAACACGACATGTCTCCACCTTCCCTGAGGCCAAGGGTGGTGGTCATACAACATCACTGTGGTTAATGTACTTAACCAGAGGTCCCAGAGCTCAGGATGACCAGCAAACTGGAACAGCTGGCCATCCTCCAAGCAGGCTCTTTGAAAGCAGCAGAGGCTGCTCACTGGTGCATGTCCCCTTTGCCTGTCCCCCTCTTGCTGCACAGGGTGATAGCCTGTGAGCTCCATTCTAGGGGTGACCATGAAGCATTGAGTGCGAAGACAAGAGCCACCGACTGATTTTAACAGACAAAACTTGATGTAAAGAACTGTGTGCTAAGGTATGAGGCCATGAACTAGGTAACTGAAGTATAAAAAGCTAACTCCGGGTATCTCTTGGAAGTGGCAACAAAATGAAGTGCAGATTACCCAAAGGGACAGAGTGACAAGGTTAGAGTTATTGAAACTTAAGAACTTGGAGCAGTTGAAACTCTGGTTTGTGAGGTGCTGGCTGGTGCTGTGATTCTGGCTGGCTGGTGCTGTGATTCTGAGGGGTCTCTTAGAAAAAATAGCAGACAGGTGCTCCAGTAAGGGGCAGAGGAATCAGGGGTGAAGAAGCCTCCCTAGAACAGACCATAGGAACAGGACAGGTGGAGACCCAAACAGAAGGAACCAGAAGAAGGATGTTCTTCCTCCCTCTTCCAGCCTGGCAGGCATTGTCCAGCATCGCCTACTGGAAGATCTAAAGAGGGATCTGAATGGCTGAGCCCAAGTGTGGAGTGCAGCTTCCAGCCCCGACATCACAAAGCTGATGGAGAAGGATGGGTTTGGTGCCAGCAGGCCATAATTCCGTAACCAGCACACTTTCCCTGGTGACACTACTCACTCTCCCCTTACCCCAGAGGAAAGCACCACACCGACTTCTGTGTTGTTTTCCTGCTTTCCCTTAGAGTTTTATCATGTATGCATGGACCCCTGAATTATGGGCTGCATTTACCTGCTTTGAAGGTTTTTGTGACTGGAATGATACCGTTTAGGGTCTTCTGTGTCTGGCGTTTTACATTCAGATGGTTTGGACGATGCATCCATATTTTGCAAGTGGTGTCGGCCATTCATTCCCAATGCTTTCTAGGATTCTGCTGGATGAACACACTGTATTTTATTCATTCAACTGCTGATGGATGTTTGCAGCAATTGACTCCAAGAACGCCCCTGTCCCTGTATCCTGGAACACATGAGCACACATCTCTCTAGGTGTTACCCAAAGTGTGGTCCCCAGAGCAGCGGCTTCAGCAGTACCTAAGGACTTGTTAGAAATGCAGATTCTGGGGTCCGACCCAGACCTTTGGACTCAAATTCTGGGAGTGGGGCCCAGAAGCCCTCCAGGGGGTTGGGACACCTGAGAATGAGTGTCCTTGGTTGTATATCTGGAAGTACACTTGGGAGTCACATGATACCCAAAATTCAAATCTCCTAGAAAATGTCCAACTATTTTCGGAAGCCTTTGTACCAGACTGCACTCCCACCTTCTCTTGCTCTGTATCTCAGCCAGACTTTTAAATTTTTGTCAGCCTGGAAGATACAGAGATACCCCATCATAGTTTTAATAGTACTTGTGTGACTTCTGATAAGGTGGAACACCTCTCTCAAATGTTTACCGGCTATCCAGACAACCTCTTCTGTGCAGTGCCTGGTCCAGTGTTTTACCCATTTTTCTCTTGGGTTGTCTGTTTTTTCCTCATCTGTTTGAAGCTCTTGAAATATTTGGAAGATGGGCCTTGGTTGGTTGTATACCTCTTTTTCTTTTTAAGATTTTATTTATTTATTCATGATAGAGAGAGAGAGAGAGGCAGAGACACAGGCAGACACAGGCCCACAGAGAAGTGGGCTCCATGTCGGGAGCCTGACACGGGACTCGATCCTGGGACTCCAGGACCATGCCCGGAGCCAAAGGCAGGCGCTAAACCGCTGAACCACCCAGGGATCCCCGGTTGTATACCCCTTGCAGGTATTTCCTTCCATTCTAAGTCTGGCCTTCTCATTTTCATGTTTTTTTGTTGCCACATATTGATGAGCAACTTCTTGATTTTAATTTAGTTTGATTTGTCATTATGTATGATTGGTGCTTTTATATTTTTAAAAGATTTTATTTATTGATTTGAGAGAAAGAGAGAGTGTGTGTGTGCATGAGCAGAAGGAGGGGCAGAGGGAGAAGCAGACTGCCCACTGAGCAGGGAGCCTGACAAAGCTGTGGGACTCGATTCCAGGACCCTGGGATCATGACATAAGCCGAGGGCAAATGCTTAACCCACTGAGCCAACCAGGTGCCCCTGATCAGTGCTTTTAATGACTTAAGAAATCATGAAGTCATGAAGATAATTCTCCTGTTGTGTCTTTTGAAAGTCTGTAGCTCTGCCTTTCACATTTAATTCTTTGATCCACCAGGAATTGACTTTTGCATATGATGTGAGGTAGGGGTTCTGTTTCTTTCACAGATGTGTATGTACATAATTTTCTTCACTCCACTGGCTGGAAACCAAGTCTTTCCCCTACAGCTCTGCAGGCCCACCCGACTCTGTCACACATTAGATGCTCGCAGGTACATGGATCTGTTTCTGAGCATTCTGCTGTCTCCTCTGCATATTGGTGTATATTTGGACCAAGACTACACAGTATGGAATGCCCTACCTCCTGTGCTGTTGCCCCTCACAGCAGGATTACTCCCCTCAGAGGAAGCACCAGGTACCCTGGAGTTGGACTCTTCCCTTGCCTCCATCTCATTGGGTCAGGATGAGTTAACAGTTTTCTGTAATTTTGCCCTTGGCTCATGTTTCGGGCCCTCTCTCCAAACATCATCCCTTCCTCAATCAAGGCTCCTCTCAAATGCTGACACCTTGGATCACCGGCAGCCGGAGAGATTCCTTCCTTCTCAGATGCAGCCTTAGGAAGGTTGACTGTACACATGTCCTGGGATTATCGAAACAAAGTACCACAAACCAAGTGGCTTAGTCCACAGTAATGTGCTGTCTCACAGTTTGGAGGCCAGGAGTCTTAGATGGAGGTGTCAGCAGGGCCATGTGCCTCTGCAGGCTCTAGGGGAGGATCTATCTCCAAATTTCCCCCTTTTTATAAGAACCCCAGTTAGATTGGATTAGGGGCCACTCATTTTAATGAAGTACATCTGTAACAGCCTTATTCCAAGTAAGGTCACATTTTGAGGTACTAGGGGCAGAGTTTCAACACATGACTATGGCAGGGACACAGCTTGACTCAGAATGATGACCATATAATTGATCCTCAGAGACTACGACACTCTGGAGAGTAAAATGGGGCTCCTGTTGAAACTGTACCAGAATCATGACATTAACCATGAGTGCTCTGGATGATCCAGGACAGATGAGCCACCCTCTGCAGCGGGTGATCAGGAGATTCACATCACTCAAACATGTCTAACTTTGGCACTGGCTCAGTTAGAAGGCTTTGGCTATAAATAGCAGAAACCCAGCCCAATGTGGCTCCAACACAGAGGGGATTTATGACCTCACACGTAAGGACTTAGGAGAAAGGGTGAGCCTAGGTGTGTTGATTCAGTGACTCCGTGGTGCGGCCGAGGATTCCCTTTCTCTCCACCATGTGGCTCTTGTGTCCTTGATGTATTGAATCACATGCTTTTGAGATGGCTACAGGGGCCTTACAGCCCCTATCTTCCCAAACTGGGATGTGTGGACCATGGTTCAAACTGGACCATCTTTGATTCATGTATTGCTTCTTAGGAACAATGACACTTTTCTCCTACTCCAGCCCACCTCCCTTCATGTCTTGTTGGCCAAAATTACCCTCTCCACCTGTGCCCAAACCACTTCCTGGCAAGGGGTGTGGAACTCGCCACCACACTTGTCTTAGTTCAGTCATGATCCTCTCTTATGAGCTGGGTCCTGCTTCTCCTGCAGTGGATAGAAGGTAGGTATCTGGACAAAATCTGGGTTCTCTTTACGGGAAAAGGAGAGAGGTGGGGAGGGAGCTACTAGGGAGGTAGCCAGAAGGCATTTGCCACAACAGGGCAAAGAACAGACATTGAGGACCAGCAGCACATCAGGGGTAGGATAAAAGGAGAGATTTTCATGGCTGCACATAGAAGCAAAAACTAGGGCCCTCGAATCTTCAAGGTGTTATTCTTGCTGGGACATTAATGAAATGCAATGTTTTGGGAAGCTGGCAGTGGCACTCACATCTCATTAGGTGGAAGGTGTGATCACTGAGGTTAGATGGTCTTGGTTATTGCCCTGGACGGAGATAATTTCACAGCAGATCATGCTGCAATGCAGCATTGCTAACGAGTGCTGACGAGAAACAAGCAATCAGTGAAAATGCTTGTTACCAAGCAACAAGCCAGCACAAGAATGGAGTAAAGGGGACCTAAACGGGCCACAGAAATCAATCATCAGAAAAAAGGTGGCATGGTGGGAGGGGTGGGGGGAGAAATACTGGAGAGCCATTTCAATGTCTGCTATACTTCATTGTAAAAAAAAAAAAAAGACACATCTCCTGATTTAGAAATACAATATATGTCCATTGGAGAAAATCAGGAAATACTTATAAAAAAGAAACTAGCCACATGCTCAACCTCACCACTGACTACTTTCAATAGTTGGGTGCATTTCTCTGAGAGTGCACACACGCACACACATGCGTGCGCATGCACTGTCTCCTATCTGATGTTTTCCATGGTATTTCTCCACGTTATCAAAAATCCTTAGTTGACATCATTTTAAATAACTGCATGGTCCATGCATCGATCAATGACTCTTTGCAAAACCCCATAAATCTTTGCCTCAGAAGGCCTCTCACGGGTGGAAGCGGGGAGTCGAGAACCTAAGTGCCAACATTACTCACTGTGCTCACAGCCTGCGTTGTGAAGGTAGGTCAGAGGCTTAGCTGGCTCCTGGTCTCTTCTTTGCTGGGGGAAAGAAAGCCCATGTCAAGGATGGAATGGGAGGAACGTGTCTGATTTGTGTGTGTGGGGGGGTGCCTCGTGGCAGGGGGTGGGGTGGGGAACCTGCGCATTGATTTGTGCTACAGACCATAAAGCAAAACATAAAACTCTCTAATTATTAGCAGCATTTTTCAAAGAGAAGAGCCATCAAGTGCCTGAGCCCTTCCTGGAACAATAGTGAGTTGGCCCCCCACTGTACCTTAAATTTCCTCCCTTTACTGGTATGATGGATCCTTAGGAAGCACTGTAGAACCATTATCATAATCATCTTTCCGATTAAGAGTGTCATTTTTTTAATTAAAAAAAAAAAACCCTCACAACAGCAATGCTGCAGAAGTACTTTTTAACTACCCTGGTAGGATTTCCTCTGCTATTTGATCACAGCACGTGCTAGGCTGGACTATCCATACTCCAAACATGGATGAGTGCCAGTCATTTCATTCCGTTAACCTTTAAGGAGTGAGCAGGCCTTGCCGATCACAAATCAAGCTATATAATCTGTTTCTCAGGCTTATTATTTGTGTGAGGAGAGCTCCTGCCCTCTTGGATTGCAGCACCTTATTGATCACCCAGTGCGACGATGATGCTATGTGTTCCCCCAACCTTCCTGTTGTCTGTACCAAACTTGTTTTAGATTCACAAGACGACTGCTATATCCACAGCGTGCCAAATGCTATACTTTGAAGTACGCTCCCTGTACTGCTAGGCCAAGGATGATGCCTTTCCAATGAATTGTTGTATCTTTATTAATCATCTGATTTTCCAAGTTAATATGATGCATTTGTCTTGGATAGACTTCTGCCCTCATGTGAACAGATGGCACACAAGTGTTCTTTGAGCCAGATTTTTTTTCCCCTTCCTTTTTTTTAAATTAAATTCTTATGAAAAAGAATGTGCTTTCATTCAGAGGCATAAAAATCTAGGACTATCCTCTGATAGAGGCCACAGCATCTGTACAGAAAAGCCATTTCTCTCTGCAGCAGGATGATCCAAATGCTGGCCCACAGATAACAGGCCTGCTCCTTGGGAAATGAAGACTTGTCTTGGTGAATGATGGCTCAGTGTTTGGCCTTGGTGTGTCTGTTTAAAAAGAGAAGCCAGAGGTGCCTGGGTGGCTCAGTCAGTAAAGAGTCTGCCTTCGGCTCAGGTCATGATCCCAGAGTCCTGGGATTGAGTCCTGAATTGGGCTCCCTGCTCAGTGGGGAGCTTGCTTCTCCCTCTCCCTCTGCCCCTCCCCCTGCTTGTGCACACTCTGTCAAATAAATAAAATCTTTAAAAAATTAATAAAAAGAGAAGCCAAAGTTCATATTTATAGAATAATGAATAATGCAATATTATCAGTTCATGCAGGATGGTGACATTAGAAGAAAAGACAGAGGAGTTGAGAGTCAAGGTCACACCAGAAAAGGGAGAGAAATGAAAAAATTTTTTTGTCTTCCTAGTATGTGTCTGCTTAAAAAAAAATCATTTAATTGGGTCTTTTTAGGTTTTAAAATAAGGAAGGGGCTGCGTGCAGGCTTGATAGCTCCCTCACCCGCCCTGCCTCCTACATGGAGCCTTTGGAGCACAGGAGGAGCCAGTCACATTCCAAGTCCCCCTCCAGCAGCCAGGCAGCGATTCCGGTTTGTTTGTGTGAGTCTGGGAGGCCCCAGCATCTTGTTAGTGTTAAACTGGAGAACGGTTGAGGAATCTTGCTGCTCAGGCCTCTGCAAAGCTCTTCCTGCTTAGAGAAGAGAGAGGTTTTGTTTGACTCCTTTTGGCCTCTGAGGCACCATAAGGGAGTGATTAATAGGGAACCACCTCGGGATTTCAATGGAGCGGCAGCATGAGCTCCCAGGGCCGGCAGGGCCTTTGTTTGGCAAAACAGGGCCGATAAAGCCGAGGCGGGCTGCGGGCTGGGAGTCCAGTCATCGGCCTGCTCAGTTTCGTCACTGCTAGGCCAACCTTGAGACCCGTGCTGGTCTGGGAAGATTCATCTGTCTGCACACTGGGCAGTGTGATTTGCAGGAGCTTTTTCCTCTGGGGCGGGCCCTCAAGTCTGGCGGGCAAAGTGGGAGGCCAGGCTGGGGCCCAGGGACCCTGTTCTCTTTTGTGCGATTCTGCAGGCAAGAGAAGAGCAAAGGCTCCAGGGGTAGCACTGAGGACGTGTAGTCCTGGGGGAGGGGTGAGAGGGCTCCTCCATGGAGGTGCTGAGGTGGCCGGACCTCCAGGTCTCTGTGGCAGCAAACAGAATACAGGCCTGTGATCAGGGACAAGGCTCCTAGAACCACAACAGAATCTAGGGATTGCTTGGGATGTGGGAAGGAGGGGACGAGGCATAGCAGAGTTAAAGCAGGAAGCCAAGCAACAGCCAGGAGGCCCAGGCCCGGAAACCATGGTCCAAGCGGGTCCCAGACCAGCTTGAACTTTCCTCCGGTGCATGTGTCCCTGAGGCTGGATGGGGGGCATCCACAGGTAGTCCTAGTCACATTACAGTGAGGGGCAGTGGGGACGTTTCCCTTCCTCAGAGCCCAGACTCCTTCTCCTCACAGCTGCTGAGTGCCAGGCAGGATGGGAGCGTCCTGTGCAAATTCCAAAGTCAGGCGCTCAGCATTTGCAGAGCCTCTGCCAGCTTTGACCATGTGGGAGGCCCGACGCAGAGGGCCAGTGCTCACACCGCCAACAGTGATTTCGTTCAAGCACAGAAGTGCTTTGTGACAAAACTTCAGAAGCAATGGAGCATACTGGTTGATGTGGGGAGTGTGTTAGTCAGCTCCGGCTGCTGTAACAAACACCACCACCTGGGGCCACTTACAAACAACTGACACCAACTTCTCACAGTCCTGGGGGCTGGGAGTCTGAGATCAAGATGCTGGAGGTGGCAGCCAGCACAGAGAAGGCCCCCCAGGGCTTCAGTTGTGATAAGATGGTTGTCAATATGCCACACCCCCCCATACCCAACTCTAAGAGGAGCTGCAGACACCGAATCCAACACCCGTCATCCACTGTCCCTCATAGCACCCCCAGCCCGCCCTCCCCATTGTATAGCTTTATGTGATAACCTCATCAGGATGCAAGTTCGGCCAGAAAACTCAACTCACAATAGTTTAAACAACACGGAAATGTCTCAGTCCACATGATTGGGATCTGGATGTAGATGGAATTTCAGAGTAGCTCAACCCCATGGCTCCAGCTCCCTCAGTCAACAATGAGGCCAGCTCCGCTCTCATCCTGTGGCAGCCTGGAAGCCCCACGGCCGCCACAGCTCACCCCCTTCCCATGGCATCTGGAGAGGAAAGGCCTTCTGTTCTCATGGCTGTATCTTAAAAGGGAAGAACCTTTTCCGGAAAACCCTGTCAAATGGAGGCCTGACCTCTCCTAGATGGCTCAGGGAATGGTAGACAGCTACTTAGATTCCTGAATCACTCACCGTGTGTAGTATAGACCCACCTGGGCCCAGAGCTGGGGTCAGCCCTCTGCCCCCTGATGGCTCCTTAACGGGTGAGGGCTGCAAGGGACAGTGGCCATAACATGGTCTGTTGAAAATGTTTGCCTCACCGAATCCTGTCCAGCTGTGCCCTGACACCAGTACTACGGTCATCTCCGCTTTAGAGGTGAATAAATGGAAGCATGTTGAGACACACAGGTAGGCAGGGAGCTCTGGCACAGAGGTGAAAACAGGGCCAGCTCCTGACCTCACTCCCACTTCACAGTGTGGACAGGCCACGGAGGCAGGACAGTGAGTCACCTGGGGAATAAACAACCCCAAACATAAACCTACCGCTCCTCAGTCACATGTCTGAGAGCACTCTGGCCAACATCTGAGTACGTTCGTTCCTGCTATTTTTATTGTGTAATGTTTACATTTCCTCCCCCAACCTTCTAAAATTGAGAAATGTGACACACACGCAGAAAGGCACATAAACATAGCGAATAATGTGTTCATTTTCTGTTGCGGTATAACAAATGACCACAAATTTGGTGACTTAAGAAACGTACTCACTGGGATGCCTAGGTAGCTCAGCGGTTGAGTGTCTGCCTTCAGCTCAGGGCATGATCCCAGAGTCCCGGGATCGAGTTCCACGTTGGGCTCCCTGCGATGAGCCTGCTTCTCCTTCTGCTTGTGTCTCTGCCTCTCTCTGTGTCTCTCATAAATAAATAAATAAAATCTTAAAAAACAAACAAACAAACAAACAAACAGAAATGCACTCACCTCAGCTTCCATAGGGCAGGAGTTGGTCCTTGGCTTTAGCTGGGTCTCTATCATCCCCTCAGGGTCTCCTGTGGCTGTAATCCAGGTGTAGGTTGAGCTCTGTTCTCATCTGGAGGTACTACACTTTCAAGCTCATTCAGGATGCTGGCAGATGTGTTTCCCTGTGACTACATGGCCAAGGGCCATAGCTTCTTCCTGGTATCTGGCTGGAGGCCACCCTCGGGTCCTGGAGGCTGACTGCCCACAGTCCCCTACCACGTGGCACTATCCAGGGGCAGTGCACTTGGCTGTTTGTTCCTGCAAGGCCAGCAGGAGAGGCTGTCTCCAGTCATCACGGGAACATGAGCATGATGGGTGAGAAGTCCACCATCCTTCAAGTACAACATGACATTGTCAACAGACTGACATCCTACCCCTTTCACTGATTTCTGTTGGTCAAAAGCACAAGACCAGCCTGGCCCCCACTCACCAGGAGGCTGTTGACTCATTGGGGGTGACCTTGGGGTGTGGCCAAGTAGAACCCAGGTGAAGTGAACATCGATCACCAACTGCCATACCCACTGCCACCTCCCCTTAGAGGTAAGACCAGTGCTGAGCTGCAGCTGGCTCACGAGTACGAAATGATAAATTCTGTGGGCTTGCTGTTAAACAAACAGTATCAAAAATTAAATTATATAAGTTTACAGTGAAATCAGTACTATGGACAACAAAGTCTCAAAACACATTACTTCCCAATTATCCTACCATGACCTATGCTCTGAAGATTATTTACCTCTATTGGATCCACATGCTGGAAACAGTGTTCCCAACCCCGTGCTCAGACACTCCACCTTGGTAGCTTGAACTCATCCATCTGAAAATTCTATAGTTCAGAGCCTGAAGGTTGAAAAGGGTGTTAAACAAAACAAAACAGAATATGTGACAGATTATGTGTATCCGGCAAAGCCTAAAATATTTTGGTCCTCTGACCCTTTGTGGAAGATACTTGCTAACCCCTCTGTCTGGACTTTAGGAAGTAATAGAGAAAATCAACAATGTAGTTAAACTAAACTTTGTGTCAAGTCTGTAGCCTTTCTATTGCAAACAGCACAACACATCGAGGAAGAATAGTATTTGTAAACCATCATCAAGAAGATGCTCGGATCACTGATGAAATTCCAGTGTCTTTTGGGCTTCACTTCTTACTTAATGCAACCTCAACCGTGTTCGTATCACCTATTACATTCAATGCAAGTTTATAACATTTAATGTGGGAGGCTGGGAAGCAACTCCGTTCTGGACAATCACCGGGGGGATTTCAAGCACAGGCTGGCCGCGGGTGCAAGAGTCCAGCGAAAGCAAGCAGAAGCATTCTCGGTGCACCAGTGGACCACACGAGGTTTACAAGAGAGCCTGCGGTTTAGGGTCATTCTCAGCACGCGGTGCGCGGCGCAGGCCTGAGACCCGCCAATGCACGCGCCCCGCCCCGGGCCCTAGGTCAAGGCCAGGGCCTGACCTGTGGGCCAGCACTCGGGGGCTTTCCCGGGAGGTAACTCAAGCGGGCTGAGAGCTGGCCCCTTCGTGCCGAGGGCTGGGCACCGTGGAGCGTGCAGCTGCGCGGGCACACAGTAGGCATTCAGCAGGTGCTGCTGGGCGGGCCACCTGCAGAGAAGACTAATGGCTAACCCGGGAGCCAGCAGCGGCGAGGCGACTCTGAGCCTGTACGAGAAAATGGCAAAAAAAAAAAAAAAAAAAAAAAAAAAAAAGGGCGGGGGGCGGAAAGAAAAAGAAGCCGGGGGAAGCAAGGCTCCCCAAATCTTTTTGGAATCGCTAGGGCATGAAGTCAAAGGCGCGGGCCGGGGAAGGGGGAGCGACAGCGCCCGCAGGCGACAGCGGAAGCCGGCCACGTCCCCTCACCCTCCCGGTCACCCGCTGGCGCCGCCCCCCGCGAGCGCCCGCGGGGCCGCAGCGCAGAAGCGCCCACTCAGGCGGGGAGGGAGGGCGGGGCCGAGAGCTCCGCCTCCGAGGCCACGTGGACCCCGGAGGCCCCGCCCCCGGCCGCGGGGTCCCAGGGCCTCCCAGGCGCCGCGCGGGTGACCTTGGGCGGGTCGCCCCCCCCCCCCGCCCCCGGGACCCCGGGACCCCGGGACCCCGGGACGGCGGACGCGCAGTTGTCGCGAGGACGCAACCGACCCACGCCCGGCCCGCGCACGGACCGGAAGGCGCGTCGTGACGCGTTGTGCGCAGGCGCGACTCGCAGTGAGGCGCGGAGAGCCGCCGCCAGGGGGCGCTGCGGGCCGCCGGCGCTGTTGGGGGAAGGGAGGCGCCGCGCCGGGACCGGACCACGTGCGCACCACGTGGCGCACCCGGCAGCCCCGGACCGCGGTAGGGTGGCTGGGCCGGCCACACCGCGCAACCAGCAGCCGGCAGAGGCGAAGGGACCGACCTCCCCGCTGGCACCCCTGCTGACCTCTGACCTCCAACCTCACTACCTTTAGGGTTACCCCTCGCTTGTGGCCGCGCGGTGTGTTTATAAACAGAGCTCCCGGCGGGGCCCAAACCCCGGATCCTGGATTGCTTACCGGGGAGCGGAGCCTCCCGCGCATGCGCCCCGCGCCTTCCGCGCAGCTCTTCCTGCGCAAGCGCACTGGAGGACGGGGCGCGCCGCTGTGCTGGCTGGGGACGTGTGTCCGGGAAGGGGCGGGTGGCGGCCGGGAAGAGCTGGGTTCGGCGGCTGCAGCCCTGCCAGACCCTGCCCTGTCTTTCCCGGGCTGCGCCCCGTGGCAGGCCACCCAGGTGCCCTGAGCCCTGGCCTCACCTGTGAAGGGAGCACAGGTGGCAGGTCCGGCAGGTGAGCTCCGGACCTGCCCTGGCCGCCCTCCCTGGCCCACGTGGCCGCCCAAGGGAGCCTTTAAACACAGCAGACCGACGCCCCCCCCCCCCCCCGTGCTGATGAACGCATGAACAAAATATGCTTACACGCCGCGGGGTACTGCTCAGCCTTAAACAGCAAGGAAGGAAATTTTGTGTCAGGTGTATTTCATCACAAAAAAGGAGGACAATTCTGACCTAAGCTAAGGGATAGGCGAACCTAGAGGACATCAAGCAGAGTGACGACTACTGTCGGAGCCCACTAACAGGAGGGATCTAGAAGAGACCTGCCCAGGGGATGGGGATTCTTTGATGGGGACAGTGTTTGGAATGATGAACAAGTTCTGGAGGCATTCAGGGGTGACAGCTGCTCAGCAGCCTGAACACGCCTGATGCCCCCGAACCCTGCACTGAAGAATGGTTAAAATGGCAAGTGGTATGTGGTATGTGTTTTACCACATCCTCCCCGCTCAACATCACATCAAGTTCTGCCCAACAATACCCCTTTTTATGTTCTAAAAGGCCCCACCTGTCTCCTCATCCCTGCTCGCATCATCCTGAACCCCTTGGGTCCCAACTCGCCACCTTTCTTACCCAGAACACACCATCCTCACTGCTCCTTGCTGTCCTCGCTGATGGAAATGCTTTTCCTTCTTCACACAGCAGTTTCCTTCTGGTGAATTCATTCATTTAATAGACACAGATCCATGCTGATTTTCTGCTAGACACTATGCAAGACCAGGGGATGCACAGGTGATCAAAATAGGAAGGGACTCTCCTGAGGTTTATATTCTGGCAGAAGGCATAGTCCATAAACACCAACAAAATGTCAGGTGGTGGAAGTGCTGTAAAAATCAGAAGGCAGCTGGGGACCCAATATCTAAGCTAGATCGGGTATAAGCCCCAGGGACTCTGAGTGCTGGCGGCTTGGGCTGAGACCTTCAAGATAAGGAGATGTCTGTGGAAGATGGGGTGGGGGGAACAAGGATTTTTCTGGAGAGAGAGGACAGCTAGTACAAAAAGCCCTGAGGCCAGAACCATTTTGCTGTGTTTGAGGAGCCGAAAAAGACCGCTAGGAGGTAGGAGCATGTGAGTGAGGAAAAGGTTTAAGAAACGAAGGCAGTGAGGTAGATGCTCCTGTTACTATAACTATGGGAAATGCCCTCAAACTTGCAAGTATAAAGCAATCGTTTTGTTGGCTCACAGTTTGGTAGGTCAGGAGCTCATTTGGGGCTCAGGTAGGCAGTTCTTGCTTGGGGTCTCATGCGGTTGCCATCAGGTGTTGGGGGTGTGGGCTGGACGTCCCAGGTGGCTGGTTCATGTGGCTGGCAGCTGGGAGCTCAGAAAGGGTTGCTTTGGGCATGCTTCCCTGTGGCTTCTTCAGCTTGGTGGCCTTAGGGTAGCTGGACTTCTCGTATAGAGAGGCTCCCAAAGGAACCAGGCAGAAACTATATGGCCTTTTAGAATGTATTCTCAAAAGTCTCAGTCTTGCTTCTCTCGTACTCTGTTGGGTGGAGACACGGATCCACCTCTTGAGGGGAGGAGTGTCCATGATTTTTGGAGCCATGTTTAATATCACTACACAGGTGATCTTAGCTCCTTTTACAGATGGAGAAAATAATGCCTAAGGTGAAGTGACTAGGCCAAGGTTGTAGAGCAGAGCAGGGCCTGGAGCTGCCCCCTTCAGACAGCAGTGCAGGGTCCTCTCTCCCGTATCCATCCCACAGCCTCTGCTCCAGCCTTAAGGAGCAGGGCTTCAGGATCCAAGTCCTCTGGTGAGGAATTCTTACTCAAATGTGTGTGTGTTTACATCACACCCTTTGGTGGCAGCTCCTTCCTTACTGGCACCAGTGGTGGATTTTAGAATGAAGAGCATCCAGCAGGGTGCCCACAAGTGGTCTCTCACTGCTGGCTGGCAAGGTGGGAAAAGCGAGCGGGGCTGTGGATCCTGAGGATCTCACAGGGACAAATCCCCAGGCCTCCATATACTTCATGCGACCTGTTCCCCTGCCAGCAGAGTCATGGTCCTGAGTGGGCCTTGAAACCTTGTAAGACACATGGTGGCCATCATGTAGTCATGGGATCCCAGATGTGGGGGCACTTCTGCTCCAGCAGGAGCAATTAGGCCATTAATGCCTCTTGTTGCCCTAATGTAATCGTAAGGCAAGACATCTTAACTGAAGGATCTATTTTTAAAAACTTATTTCCCATGCCCACCAACTTATAATTTGCTCAGAATTTTATTTTTTATTTTTTTAAAGTTTTTTTAAAAAAGATTTTATTTATTCATGAAAGACACACACACACACACACACACAGAGAGGCAGAGACGCAGGCAGAGGGAGAAGCAGGCTCCATGCAGGGAGCCTGACGTGGGACTTGATCCGGGGACTCCAGGATCACGCCCTGGGCTGAAGGCAGGCGCTAGACCGCTGAGCCACCCAGGCTGCCCTGCTCAGAATTTTAAAACCTTAGTTTTGGCGAAGCTTCTTCCCATTCTTTCTCTGTCCTCCAAATTTGGAGAAAACCTGGATCAATATCTGTATTTCTCTCTATATATATATCTTTCAAAATCAATATCTCTAAATATCTATTCCTGGACTTTTGTCCTTTCTTCCTCCTTTTGTTCTGGTCATAACAAGTCTATCTCTCTCTTTCTCACGCACACACACAGACCAGGTACTATGTAACTTACTGACCCAGGGTTCCTGGATGTTGGTACCTGAGCTTGGAGAAGGAGCTGCAGGTGTGTAATTGCAACATCTAATGACAGTAGAGAAGAGTAAAGCAATGACACGCAGAGTGAGCTTGCAGACCACTCCTGGTCTGCCAACTGCTTACAGGTCTGTGACCAGAAAGTACAGACATTGGAAATAGACATTTAGAAACTTCTGTAGGAATTTGACATTTTAATGACATCTGAGAGTGGATCCTGTGGACTTGTCATCTGTTTTACAAAACGCATCAGGAAGAGGCCCAAAGCCAGGTCCTTCACTGCACATAGCTTGGGAAGGACTGGAATAAGGAACTCACCTCAAATTTCTGGCCATGGCATGAGCCATACCTAGAAACCTACCATACAATGGGTGGGTATTTTTTAAAAAATCAGTAGTATTCCTATATACAAGGAGCAGCTCTTCAGAAAATACAATGGAAGAAAAGATCACTTTTGCCGTGCAAAATAAATGAAGACACCCAGAAATGAACTAAAAAAAATGTCCAAAACCTGTAGGAATGATTTTGTCTCTTTGAAAACGAAGACACGAGAAACTTCCGTGACCAAATCAAGTTTAAGAAGGACCCTAACTCACTCTGCAGTAGGCCTAGAGGATATCCAGGCAAGTCACGGTACGGTTCTGGGAGCTCATGGCTTCTTGAAGAGACGTATGAACACATGACTGTGTCCTTGGGACTGCCTATTCTAGATACTTCATGAATAGGGAATCATACAATATTCTTTTGTGTCTATCTGGCTCCTTCCACTGAGTGCATGTTTTCAGGGCTCATCCATGTTCCAGCACGTGTCAATGCTTCATTCCGTTTTGTAGCCAAATAATATTTCATTGTACAGATAAACTGCATTTTGCTTACCCATGCATCTGTGGATAAACACTTGGGTTGTGTCTCCCTTTTGGCTCTTAAGAATAATGCTGCTGTGAACATGTACCTACAAGTATCTGAGGCCCTGTTTTCAATTCTTTCAAGTATACAGCTGGGACTTGCCAATTGCTGGGTCACATGGAAATTCCATTTCAACTTTCTGAGAAACTGCCAGGCTGTTTTGTACAGTGGCCACACCTTTCCACATTCCCAGCAGCAATGTAGGAAGGTTCCAATTTCT